TGCACGCAGAGTAGAAATGCAGTATTGTACTACTGCGGTGAAGCATTATGCTTCCTTTCTACTGTGATTTTATGAAGCATGGTTGCAGTAGAATGCTACTTCTGGGAAGTATATACTGCATCCATACCTCAAATCGAAGCAGATTTGAGGCATGCTTGCAGTGTAATTGCAGTAGTCTACTGCGCTGGAGCATCTACTGCGTTTTCGTGCGGGTTGGCAATTTTAAATGTTTGACAACAGGATGTCTTATTTTGTCCCATAGTACATAAAAACAGTAGTATGATGTTTACATCCAGTGGTACAAATGTATGCTTTTAAAAATGAAGGTGTAAGATGATTGGTAACATGTTGAATAGGGGACACGCGTGACTGATAATGTTCATCCCGACAATACTGGGAAACGATCGTATTTAAATACATCACGCTCCCTTAAATAAAACATTACATATGACTGGGACCTATAAGATAAACAACAGACACCTGGTAAGTAAAGCTAAATAGAATAACATATTGAATCTGTCTCGAAGGTGTCAAAAACATTCAGTCATTTCGACAAATGCAGATGCTGTTTTATTGTTGATTATAGATAGCATATCTAGGTTCCTATTTATGCAAATTAAAGCAAGACTATGTTATATAAATGTGTATTTCTGGATGAATATTGCTGAATATAGTTTCAGCAGGTTGTTACTTTTGTTTTAGAGACCTTTAAAATACAGGGTTCATAAGAATGTCCTCAAACAATCTGAAAGTTCTTCTCCTTCTTATGGTTGTTCAGAATATCTGCTCTTCGAAGATGGTTAAGGTAGGTCCAGACACTAATTTGTTACTGTCTTTTGAATATTTTAAGAAGCTGGAATTCTCTAAATCGGGTGTCTACAAGAATAGTAAACGGATACTGTGAAGAGTTAATGGACATCATCTAGTCGACTGCGTCTTGGATTTTTGATTGACCTTTTATTTTTGAAGTTATTAATACTGAAAGTGGAAGCTCCATATATATTTTGTAAAATTCACGTTTTATCAAAATAAAATCAAAAGTAAAAATAATAAGAGAAAATCCTGACAGAGTTTACTGGTTTTTGTGCTAACCTTTAGATAGCTATTTCAATCGTATTAATAGGGCTTTTTGTTTAAGAGAAAATCTTGATAAAAAATGACAATTTAAGCCCCAAAACGCTGATATTACGTCACTCGTGTTACACTGTGACTACAAACTTTGGAAAATTGTTTTGCTTGCTAGACCATATCCTTTAGTTAATAGGAAATTTAATTAGCTACATCAGTTTTGGACTTTTTCGTTAATATCGTAGACCCCTTAAAGCTCGCTTTACACTGGACGGCTTCCTTTCTGCGTCCCGTACTAGAGTACCGTTTGAATTTATTTCCTTTACAGGCCGATCATTGAGTATTTATTCTACAATCAAAGTGATACTTGTGACTCCTTTCTACAGCCACAGTTTCCTGGTCGCACAAACGACACAGAAAGTTCGCCGCCCAGTGAAGAGGGGGTTTAAAGGGGTTTAAGTTTAAGTTATGTTTTTAAGTTCCTTGGATATAGAGGTGGAATTTACTGGCTGTAAAAACAAACAAAATTAAAGTGTACAATAGACAATGTTTTGTTCACGTTATGTTATATTATTATTATTATTATTATTATTATTATTATTATTATTTATTTATTTATTTATTTATTTATTTATTTATTTATTTTAGAACTCCAAAGGAAACTTTAGTTCACACTGGATTTTCAAGTACAAAGAATTCTTTGATATCATGGACGTTGATGAAAATGGCATGGTGACTGAAGAGGAATACGTCGGTTCAACAACCGTGCGAGCTAAACAAGTCATCCCATCTTGGAGAGCCATGGCGGCCAATGGTATATTGTACAATGACTTTTACCAGTGGTGGTCAAATGAATACACCAATTATTCAAAATCCATCACATTTGAAGATTTGCTTCGGTCTGACGAAGTTGAAGTCCCTATTTCAAGAGAAGAGATCGCCAAAAAGACAAAAGAGTGGCTTGGCGTGTTTGATCTCAACTGCGATAATAAATTGATGGTATATGAATATTCCAACTTCCTGACTATGTTTCGTAACACTGCTAAGGTTAAGGATATATTTGATGGTATTGATTGGAATAAAGATGGTGTGATTGATACCAAAGAGTTCGTAGACGCTTCTATGGACTACTGGGTTGGTCAAGAGCTCAGCCCCTCTGATGTCATTTTAGGCACTCGTTATTAAACTTGCGATAATAAACACTAAATTCAGGCATGGCTATTTACAATACATGTTCATGCTTCCTTTCGGATTTTTAAATTTTTGTTTTCTTTGTCTTTCTGAATTTGTGTTATTAATTGATACCAAAGAGTTAATAGGACTACTGGGTTGGTCAAGAACTCAGCTCCTCTGATGTCTTTTTAGGCACTCGTTATTAAGCAGGCGATGATAAAGAGGTGCCCCTTTAAATCAACCCTGACCTTTTAGATTACATTTTACCTTTTGAATTTTTAAACGTGTGTGCACTCGCTTTGGTTTAGGTTTTTTAATTGGGTGCGCTGTTGTTGTGCTGTGTTTAAGATTTGGCAATTGTCTTATGTACATGTAGTGTTGTTTGTCCAGAAAATCAATTTCAACGTTTTCAATCAGTTTATTTTTTCCTATAAGTTGATTCACCTCGGAACAGTGCCAGGCAAGCGGACATAAGGCATTCCTAGAATTTTAAACATTGGCTCTACTGTTTGCTTGGTAATACATGTATATCTTATATAGAATAAACAATTAAATCATCCTGCCTGACCTACGTGTCTATTATACGTTTCTCGTCATTTACATCTATTTTGTTATTTTCGTGATGTTCATATTCAACCCATGAGATGTCTATTAGAATCATAGCGTGGCTATTGTACTGGTGAGGTTGATACATGGAACATGGACACCCCTGCCCAATTGCAATGACTACAACATGTTTTTATATTATAAAGTTCCTAAAAAGAGGTGGGATATACTGGCAGTGTAATTTTTAGTGTTTTAGTGTTATTTTTTATTTGAAGTGACATGAAAGTGTTCTAAAAATACTGCATATTTATAAAAATCATAAACACCATATTTTGCCATATTTTGGCTCGCATTGTTTCGGCTTACGTTATATTGGTTTGAATTTTTCACTCTATTTCTGGTTTCAATTGTTGGCCTCTTTGCAATCCCACAGATGAAAATATGTGCACTATTTGTTTTGATATTTATTTTTACTTATCCTTTCGCTTGGGTTAATGAGGAGACATAAAAACAGTTTGACACAATATGTTTTATGTAAAAAAAAAGTACGTTTCTTAACCTATGACAATCCATGTACACAATCAAATCTTTGCAGTTGATATAATTCAAACCTTGAAAATGTCTAAGGTTGTGGGAGTGATCTTTGTAAAGTAGACCGTCAGTATATTCCCTTTGAACCCGTCTCAGTCCAGTAAACTTTCTTTTGTCTTCCTTATTTCTTAAAACCCCCTTTACACTGGACGGCGTCCTTTCTGCGTCCTTTGTGCGACCATGAAACTGGCCAGGACGCCGTCGGACGCTCAAAGAACGCACAGTGATCGCCAAGGTCGCACAAAGAACGTTCAAGCATCGCCGAGGACGCCATGGACGCCGCGAAGTTTTGAGCATGTTCAAAACAATCGCAGAGAGAACGCGATGGAGGATGGTCGCTCAATGGACGCAGAAAGGACGCACAAGCATCGCCGTGGTCGCAGAGAGAACGCACAAGCACCGCCGCGGTCGCAGAGAGGACGCACACGCATCGCCGCGGTCGTAGAAAGGAGGCACAAGCATCGCTTTGGTTGCAGAATGAAAACTCAAAGATCGTCCAGTGTTCGACACGTAGAACGTTATTTTTTTTCACTCTCAAACGGGGCCGTGCTGAGGTATTTTTCACCAGACAGGAATTCTAAGGGCAACAGTGGTCTCATATCAGTCTCCGATTGTTTTTTCCCCTAAAATTCATGAAACGATCCATTTTTTTTTGAGGTTATTATAAAACGAATATTTTTTTCCTTTTTTACAAGATGCATTAATTGTCAGAACTTTTTGCTGAATGCTTCATTTGAAAACGGATTCAAACATTCTATGTTGTGTCAGTCATACTTTCTCGTTTTCGGCGCCTGTCCATCCTTCTTATAAGGAAAACAATGAGCATCTGGCTGATTATCAGTCCATGCAGACCTTGCATCACTATAGTTTAAAGCGTTTATTCCCATTTATTTGTTTTGTGTGCTGGAAATGTTCTTTATTGGATGACCTGGTTAGAACTGATGAAAAATTATGAGTTAGAATATAGAGAAGGACGCCCAAACAACGCTCATCGGTTAAGCAGGATGCAGAATGATCGTAGAATAGACGCCACTGATCGCCGATAAAGGTACAGAGAACGCAGCAAGAATGCTCAATGGTCGCTCAAACATCGCAATGGATGCCTTGGGTTGCACAGGGGACGTACAGTGGAGGCAGGCAGGTTGCTCGCAGTTTTAATTTACAGGTAAAATCAAGATTCGGTCGTTCAAAGGACGCACAAGGGACGCAGACGCCTTTACACTGAGACACGATTTAATTGCTTTGGCGACCGTTGAGCGTCCTGACCACATTTTTGAACGCAGAAGGGACGCAGAAAGGACGCCGTCCAGTGTAAAGGGGCCCTTAAGAGCTTCTGGTCTCCGTAACTCTAAGGGCCCCTTTACACTGGACGGCGTCCTTTCTGCGTCCCTTCTGCGTTCAAAATTGTGGTCAGGACGCTCAACGGTCGCCAAAGCAATTAAATCGTGTTTCGGTGTAAAGGCGCCTGCGTCCCTTGTGCGTTCTTTGAACGACCGAATCTTGATTTTACCTGGTTTTAACGACCTCGGGCGGCCGCATAACATTCTAGGGTGCTTTGGTTTGGTTATGTAGGGGGTTATGTACGCATTTTCGTATAATTTCTTAATCTAGTCGAGCTAACTATGGACAGGCAGCATCTCTTCCATGCTACGGTTGCACAATGCCAGCACGCACTACTGATGAATCAAACGGCCATTGCCTTAATTAAAAGAAGAAGACGTAGGAGAAGGAGACCACGAAGGTATTGGGTCCGCCCCTGGCTGTCAGTGCCAAGAAGATTACAGTTCGGTAACTACAATCAACTTCTGCAAGAACTGAGGTTAGAAGATGAAAGTGCATTCCATAATTATCTTAGAATGGAACCAGCAATGTTTGATGAAATTCTGGGTAGAGTTGGCCCAAGAATAGCAAAGCTAAACACCAATTTTAGAGCAAGCTTGGAGCCTGGTCTTAAGCTTGCCATAACCCTAAGATTTCTAGCCACTGGTGACAGATACACTAGCCTTCAATACCAGTATCGAGTGTCGCTTAGTGCTATATCTAAGTTTGTACCAGAAGTGTGCAGAGCAATCCGTGAGGAATACAAGGAAGAAGTCGTCCAGTGCCCAACAAACCCACAAGAGTGGCAGACTATTGCAGACGATTTTTATAATCGCTGGAATGTCCCTCATGCGTGCGGTGCCATCGATGGGAAACACGTAGCTGTACGATGCCCTCCTAACACAGGCAGCCTTTACCATAATTACAAGGGTTTTTTCTCTGTTGTTCTGCTGGCATTAGTGGATGCCAACTACAAATTTCTATGGTGTGATGTTGGCGGCTTTGGTACAATGTCTGACTCTCAGATATTCAACGAATCAGAACTGAAGCAGTGCCTTGAAGACGGTACAATCAACTTTCCTGCCCCTTCGCCATTGCCACATGACGACCAGGATACACCGTTCTTTTTCCTTGGTGATGATGCCTTTGCCCTGAGGACCTATATGATGAAACCTTACTCTTCAAGGGGGCTCACAAAGGAACAACAAATTTTCAACTACCGTGCATCTCGTGCCCGGCGTGCTGTTGAGAATGCTTTTGGCATACTAGCTCAGCGATTTCAAGTTCTTCTTTCGACAATGCAGATGTTACCTGAAGCTGTACAAGATGTGATTGAGGCGTGCATTTGTCTTCATAATTTAATGCGAGACAGATACCCAGCCCTACAAAATGCCGCCCTTGATAACGAGGATGAAAACCACAATCTCGTACCTGGACAATGGCGACAGGAAACAAACATGCATGATGTGGAACAAGTTGTTGGACCTAACCGTGCCACACGTGCAGGAAAACAGCTTCGAGAGTATCTTAAGCTGTATTTTAACAGTGCTGCTGGGTCTGTTCCTTGGCAGGACAGGATGATTTGAGGGATCTATGTGTATAAAATGCCTAATTGGCTCACTAAAAAGTGATTTACACTTGATGAACAGTTTGTTTAACTCTGATAATTACGCTGCTCTGATCGTTTGTTAGCAATAATAACTTTATTGTAAACTGAAAGAAACGAAAACCACCAAAATGACTTCATATTTTCAAAACAAGATTAGGGTGTATTTCATATGTTTAATTGTGTTTACTTATTTCAAATAAACAAAAAAAAAATCATTTGGTGAACTGTGATAAGGGTTAAACTTAGAGCATTTTAAAGTTTGTCTCCACTACACACTAACATTTAAGTCCTTTTAACATTTTTTTATCTTATTAAAATTAAGCTAGCTAAAGAATTGTAAGTCCAATTGGAACATTACTAACATCTAGCAACTTAAAAATAAACACTAAAAATAATTACCAGATTACCACACAAAAAACCCTTAACGGACTAACTTTGAAACCTTCGTTACTTTCACTTGCGGCACCATCTCACATTCTCCAATCGATCTAGTATATTTCTACTAAAGTAGGAAACCTGCAAATTGTCAGGAAGCGAGTACATATTTGATGTCTTACGTCTCAGCAAATGTCTACAATGTTTATCTTAAATAATTCCATAAATAACTTGTGGCTACTTTCGCCGCAACGCCGTTTTTTCTTTCTTTAAATTTTAATTTTTAAAAAAGATAACCTTCCGTTAGTCATCATTTTCGGCTAAGTTTTTTTTTTATTTATTTTTTTTTTATTATTATTATTTTTTTTTTTTTTTTTTGTAAAATTTTAGCCATGAATCAGTAACATCCATGACTAGCTAGAAGATATGGTGACGGTGCACATTCACGCGTTGAATAAAAGTTACGGAAAAACTACATTCTCTTATAAAGTACTATGCAAAACTTTTGTTACTAGGCTACTAGGCATTGTGAAAAACGTGCTTAATACTGAGGACAAACTGTAGAAGTTAAATAAATGCGCATCTCGTAATATCATTTTACTGTAGCCTAAATTTTATTAGTATTAATAACGGCGAGTATTATTCAATATGGTTGTTATTTTTAAAACGTTTGTTACTAAACCATCGTTACTGAATGAGAAAACTCCTAATACACTGGTAAGGCACGAAATTTAAAAAAATTCTATGATTTACACAAAAAAACTATATTTATCACTCTCCGTCACCAGATTTTAAGAAAAAGTACAAATCGCATATAAATCTCTCACTCCATTTGTCACTTTTCTGTTTTCTTCAAATGGAGCTACGTGTTTAGAATTATGTATGAAATTCAGTTATAATTTTATACTGATATTTATATGTTAGAAGAAACAAAGCAAAGAAAAAGAACAAATTTGAACCTAATTATTTATAAGACCTGGGTAGGAACTTTATTGAACTTCAAGATTTTAAAAAGCTTCATTTACCACGTGAAAAGCAATTTAACAAAAAAGTAAGAAAATAACTCAGTATGGCAGTCTACCATATAGTTTTTATGAACATACATTAACCTTTAATCACTAATAATTGCTTGGATTTGGGGAGTATTCAATGACTGGTCACTGATACAACCACTTTCCCCCCCCTCCCTCATTTGCTTTAGCCGGGTTAGACTGATAGGCAGCCTGCTGATTTTCGGTGTCCAGGTCCCTTGGGAGGCTAACACAACTTAGATGAAGGGAGGGCGGTGTGCTGCAGACAGAGGGAACTGAGGGGGTTGTCCAAGGGCGTTTCTGAGGCAAACACGAGGCGTGAAACTGGGGGAGCCCTTGCTGCGGCCAGCGTGACTCAGCTGAACCCCAAACATATGTTGGATTTTCAGGGTTGGTTTGCCACTGGTTGGGTGGGTGCTGCCAAAGTGTCTGAGTCGCTGTTTGTCCAGATAAGCCTAATGCCGGCGGAGGAGCAGGGTAGCATGGCGTAGTAGCAGGTGTAGGAATTGGGTGAATTGGGTTAGAGGCAAATGGAAGTCGCTGTAATCTGCTCGCTGCATCATTCTCATCTATGTAGCGCCACAGCAACTGCGTCATGTCTTTCTGACAGCGTCGCCAACATTCATGGTTAAAAGTCATAAGAGTTGACCTCACAAAATCAGCAAATCCCAGTCTCTCCTGGTCACCCTGTGGTTTGAGGTGCTCAAGTAGCTGTTGCTGCATGGAAATAAGATGTGTGCCCTGATCCTGAAGTGACGTCAAAAGTTGATCATCCTCTTCACCTCTTCTTTTTTTGCGGGTGCTGAGCTGTCCTCTAGGAGGCCGAGGCGGCGGGTTGAGGCCTGAGTAACTGCTCGGTGGAGTAGGGTCTCTGGCATCTGATGCATATGGGTCATCAGGATCAGTGGGATTGTCAGCTACATCATCACTGGGAGCTTGATTTACTGCGGCTGAAGCCGAATTCATGGACACTGCAGGCGATTTTAGCTCAAAATAAACAAAGTGAAAAATGAAAAAACAGCGTTAAAATGAATAAATGTAATTAAAAATAAAATATAGAAATTTCGGAGACAGGTGAGATTGGGAAAAAGTTATAACATTCAGGGGAAAAACACCATTTAAGCATAAATAAGCAACAGTACTCACATTAACTAAGGTCCTTCTGTGCACACGCTCTATGTGGATTTGGAGAAATTGAAGGTTGGATATGACCCATCTGTCCCTATCTGTTAGTTCTTGATCTGCCTGACCAGACTGTTTCTTCATGAGCTTCCCGTAACGTGTGCGGATACTTTTATACCAAATTTTTAGTATTTCACTGTCTTTTCCCATTCTGTTGCCCTGCTCCCGCCACAGGGATTCTTTCCTTCTTTGATCTTTATATTGAGACATTTTTTTATTGTATAATTCCGGGTGTTCTTTAAGCCATTCAATCATGGCGTCTTCTTCTGCGACTGTGAAATTTGACGAAACCTTTTCCTTCCTCTTCTTAATTTGGGGCCCGGTGTCAGATACATCTGTATCGGTATTTGACTCCTGCACATGTAGAGGCACGTGGGTTATACTTTCACTTCCAGCACTGCCGGGTGATTGCTGAGAACTTGTGGCAACGGTTTCATCTCGCTCTTCTTGACTTTTTTCAATGGGGACTTGTTCCTTGCGTTTATTTGCTTTTCTTTTCAAAAACCACTTCTTTGGAGGCATTATTTTGCTTTCAGGTCGAGACGGGCAGATCACTGTGCAGGCCTGTGATACATTGAAACATCGCAACCACTCACCTGCATTTATAGGCAAGCTGACAATGCACGACAAGTTGTCACGTACCGCGTTTAAAATTCGTGGATGATATTTGTTTATCAGTTCTCAATCTATCCTTAAATACAGATTTCTTCAAAACGCAGTGTTTGAGATGTTTAGTTTCACTTTTATTCTCCATTTAGTGTGTCTGAACGGATTGTCGTATTGTTATTATGCGATATAAAATCTTATCAAAGTACAAGCCTTTTCGTAAAAAAAAAAGCAGAGAGGACGTAGAGGGGAGGCAGGGAGAAGGCAGAAAGAACGCAGAGGAATCGTCACTGGTCGCTCAAGGGTCGCGGTGGACGTACCAGCATCGTTCAGTGAACGCTGATGGTCGGCGAAAGGACGCAGAAGGGAGGCAGTAGCAACGCCCAGATTGGCAATTAAAATTTACATGTATAACGAGGCGACCACTGACCGACCGTTGAGCGTTCATTCTGCGTTCGCAGCGATGCTTGTGCGTCCTCTCTGCGTCCCTTGAGCGACCTTGCGGCGACCAACCTCTACCGCGTTCTTTGTGCGTTCGTTTTGAACATGTTCAAAACTTCGCGGCGTCTATGGCGTCCTCGGCGATGCTTGAGCGTTCTTTGTGCGACCTTGGCGATCACTGTGCGTTCTTTGAGCGTCCGACGGCGTCCTGGCCAGTTTCATGGTCGCACAAAGGACGCAGAAAGGACGCCGTCCAGTGTAAAGGGGGTTTAAAGCATCGCGAATTGCGACCGAGCGCAAGCGTCTCTATTCCATAATTCGGCATTCGCTCGCCCCATATAATAGCCGCGAAATGAAAGGTGATATGGCTATCGCAATTCGCGATGTTTTCGAATTACGGAGCTTTGGTCCTAAAAAGTGAATTTGTGCATGTCAGTTAATGTGAAAATATCTAGGTCTAATTATGATAAAACATCACTTGGCACCCCTCATGGATATGTAGACAGATGTTTGCGTTTAAAGACACACAATGAAACTTCTCTTAAACCTGGTGGTGACATGGCACTGATAACATGTCGAATAGGGGAAACGCGTGACAAAGCGTATGTAACTGGAGAACAGTGAAGTACACTGTCATTTAGAAGACTACTCTCCTGGTGGGTAATAGAGTTGCCATAGACCAGTAACACAGACATCTGGTAAGAATTATGTTCAGTGTATGGACAGCAGTGTTCGGATCTGTACCTAATTAAACGTCAAGATCTCCATGGTAATAGGATATTGATTGACATAGTTATATCTCAAAATATAATCTCCATTTATTAATAGTCAGTAAACGGTGTATAAAATAATCCCCGCCCACCGTACATTTAGTGGTCATTGTGTATATATATTTGAACCCGCGAAAAGAAACAAGTACGATTTTATCACATCGCACATGAAATAATATTGATAGAAATTCATATGTGTAGTATTTTAATTATTTTATACGTTTAAATTTATCCATTTCTTCACTAAATTAAGCTGTACCGTAACAAAGCTTTCGTTATAAATGTGACCTTCCTCATGTGTGTTCATCTGAAACTGAACACTTTTCATTATTGCTGTTGAACAGTGTTGCTTTTACAGACTCCAATTACACGGTATATAGAAAATTTACATCTCGGTTACTAATGAATATTTACCATATATTTTCTTGTCCCTCTAATTTCTCAATTCCAGAGGACTTTCATGTCGCATTTTTCTTTTAAGATTGCAGAGCCGGATGCTTATATAAGTCCCCCATCTTGATGTACAATCTTGTACATCTTGATGGCGTTGCGATACATCTATTTAGGTTTTCTGTTATTTACTAGTTTCAGTGAACAAGACCTGGTAAAATGTTTTCCAGCAAACTTGGAATTGTGTTATTGATTGTGATTATCTCAACAGTGGATTCATCGGCTGGAGTGAAGGTAAACCTGGATAGTGTTTCCTTCTTGTATGTCGGATATTGGGATCAGATAGCCGAGAAAAAGTCAAAATGTAAAGGAGCAAGCTCGATTTAGCAAATACGTTCATTTACGCATTGCAGTGTAAAGAAAGTATCGTGCATCAGTAAAGGGGCAATGAAAATATACATATTCTTATAAGATAAATTATCTTCAGTGGTCATTTTTCTTCAGTATTTTTTAGACGCGAATTCTAAAATATTTTTTTCTTTTCAGATTGAACAGGACAACAATGAACAATTTACCCCGTATTGGGTATTTAAGCTGAAAAAAATGTTTGACGTTTATGACGTCAACAAAGATGGAATTGTAACGGAAATGGAGCACACTGTTGCCACAACTGAACGTGCTAAGCGTGTTTTGCCATCATGGAGAGCTAAAGCAGTGTATGGTGTTATGACCTGGGCGTATCACACATGGTGGTCAAATGAATACACCGACTATAAAACATTCATTACATTTGATGATTGGATCCAACCTTTTGAAAAGGACATAGTCCATACGGGTTATGAGGTAGCAGACTTTGCTTTTGAATTTTTCCATATTGTTGACGTCAACTGCAATGGAGAATTAACACCGAACGAGTACTCTAAATTTCTTGACATATTTCGTAACATGGCTGACATTCAAGTAATTTTCCGTGCAATTGACCGTGATAGAAATAACGTTATTGACGTTAAGGAGTTTTCATACGGAATGAAACATTTTGTCTACGATGAAGCAGCTGACTCCGCTGCATCCATTTTTGGGTCTCGAGATTAAATGAGTAGACGAAAAAGTCTTTGACGGTTATCCATTTGATTTTGAATGAATGGTAGCTTTTCTGACATTTCTCATCTGAATTTTTCATTTCCGTCGCTGTTGAACTGTGCACCATTAATTGAGCCCTTTTATTATTTATTTTTAATCTGCATGAAATTAAGCCTTGATTAAAAATAACTTTTCAAGTGACTGCTTTTAGAAGTGAAATTTTTCTTTTTTCCTGTAATGGATTTGGTTTTGACTTTCATTTGATTCAACGGTAAATTTGAATGAATGGATTTTGATTTCTATCATGTCATAATTCACATTTCTATTTTCACCCAAGACTTTGCTAGATTATAAGAAATGCTAAAAGTATATGAAGAAAAGTGCGTCTAAGATTGTTTACTAAAATCTGCTGGGACAGCTTTATTTGAATATTAAAATACGATTGTAAATATGGAGTACCCAATATTTTTAAAATGCCAGACTGCATCTGCCATATAAACTGTTTTTGACAAAAATAGAAGCAAAAACGAGGTTACAAACAAAACATATTAAAATGATATTCATTGACTATGTAATTATTGTTACTGTAATGTGGGGATGATATGAGAATGGCCGAAATGTTTCTCTAACCACATACGCGAAAGTACCAGTAAGCAGCAAGTTTAATACTACGAAAATGTTATCTTAACTTTATTCTTTACATTTGTTTTAAATAATTAATTTGATATCCCTTCTGTATATCATTTTGATCAAAGTTTCATATAATTTTCGGTCATCAGAAGAATATACAACTGATACATGTAATTATTGGTAACGTACAAAATTTGATGGATTACACTTTCCTCACACAATAACGGCCACAATATGTCTATAAAACAATATGTCTATAAAACAGCATAAAAGTATTGATATGACTAATGAACAGTATGTATAAGAAAATGTAAAAATATGTAACTTGACAACCCGTATGAAAATGTAATTCAATGTTTACATTTAAAGATACAAAGTGATATTCTTAAAGCTGATGGTGATAACATGTCGAATAGGGGAAACGTGTGACATCATCTTTAACCAGAGGAGGTGGGATATCAAGTAATCAAAGAAGACCACTCTCCTTGAAGCAACACAACCTTAGACGTGGAGGACGTGGAGGACATACATCAGGTAAGAAACATGTACAAAGTGTGGGTAACAGTGTTCAGATCTGTAATTTTACTATTTCTAACAGCTTCAGGATTGACTGTCCGTGGAAATAGGATATCCAACAGATTGAATTAGTATTTCAAGTGTGTAAGGCTCTAAGTATAATATTCAATTATTCATGGTCTGTTAACTTCGCAGTAAGATCCCCAGTACCAATTTAGCTAGCAACGATTACCGTGTTTTCTACCTGTATATCTCTTTTTGGAAGCAAACCATAAGTATAGTACATCATTAAACGGAGGCATATACCCCTGCAGACATACAAATGTATAATATTCTATATATTCCAGCCAGCATATTCAATGTTACATTTTAAAATTAAGTACTGTGTCATATTTTAAAAAGAAAACTGTCGAGCAGCATGCGCGTAGTAATATAATAATATAATCCACCAATATAATAAAAAAATTTAAAAACGTATTTTTTTCAAAAGGTCTTATAATTGATTTTACTGGCTTTTTATCTTAACATTGTAGTATATATATTAATATTTTGACTATCTATTTACTTAATAACTTTTTTCGTCTTACTTTTATTCATTTTACCCATGTAGAGTCTACTGAACAAATAAAAGTATTATTAATATTATATTCCAGCTGATGTACATATGTCATTCGTGTTTCCTCTTATTTATAAGGTCGTGTTGACCGAGACTTGTTCAAGATGTTTTCCTCGAAATCTGTAATTCTGCTGCTTATGGTGATTGTTCCAGCCGAAAATATGTCATTTGGATTAGCGGTAATCGCACATACTAGTTCTTTTCCCGTTTTTAGTATATTGTAACACGCTATCCATATTTAAGTTATGTCCATGCATGTACAAATAGTTGGCTACAATGATATAAAATAGCTGGACAGACAAACACTATTAATGGGCAAAGCAAGTCTTTATGAGTCAAATCTAGAGTATACTATGTAGAAACGTATGGTGGTCATTTACTTTTGCATTTTCTTATTCTTATTTTTATTGTGTGTCTTGCCATCAAAATGTATCCTTTACATACCGTATGTGTGATCCTATCACTCGAATGTGTACTTTGAATTTCATTCCAAATATTTAATTCGCTTCCCCTTTTTTACATATTTTTG